GTTTCATTTATTAGTCTTTGTTTTTTAAAGAATATCTTTGTTTCAGTACCTCGTTAATTCATTTCAAAAATAATGTGGAACAATAACTAACAGCTAACTAAGTCGGGACCTTATGTGACTCATGGGCTAAACAGCTAACTAAGTCGGGACCTGATGTGACACATGGGCTAAACAGCTAACTAAGTCGGGACCTTATGTGACTCATGGGCTAAACAGCTAACTAATTCGGGACCTTATGTGATTCATGGGCTAAACAGCTAACTAAGTCGGGATCTGATGTGACACATGGGCTAAACAGCTAACTAAGTCGGGACCTTATGTGACTCATGGGCTAAACAGCTAACTAAGTCGGGACTGATGTGACACATGGGCTAAACAGGTAACTAATTCGGGACCTTATGTGATTCATGGGCTAAACAGCTAACTAGGTCGAGACCTTATGCGACACTTGGATTTAACAGCCACGACAGAGACCCCAAGATTCAGGCAGAACCGTTGACCAGAAGGAGGGCAGCCAGTCAACATCACCCGTAACATATGCGGCTACTCATAACTGAATAGTGGGGTTGGCCAACAAAATTATAAGCCCCAATAACTGAAAGTTCAGCACATCAATCTGCACATCAGATATAATACACATCAGGCCCACAGGAGGCAATTGAGAAGGAGCATAATTTTGGAAGAAAAAGAGAGAATAGAGGAAGGGAATACTCCTAAAACCGATAATGAGGAAAGAGGAAAAGGGCGAGGAAAAGAAACAACATCAAATATATAATTTTATACACAAATTTTATATTCCTACATTATCTTGAATCATAGGCTAAAGTATCATTTTTCAATAACATAATGCATAGGAAGAGATATGTTGGTGACAAGCTAAAAAATGCAATTCTCTAAAAGAAACTTAAAGTATTTATAATTTGAAAAATACATTTTTGGTCGAAAGATACAAACCATACCAACTACTAAATATGCTTTAAAATAAACACCGGATTAATTTTTTTTCATTTTATTACTGTTAATGCCCCCCCTCCAGTGGCACAGTGGCATGTCTGCGGACTTACAACACTAAAAGCCGGGTTTCGATACCCGTGGTGGGCAGAGCACAAATAGCCCATTGTGTAGTTTTGTGCTAAATTACAAACAAAACAAAATTACTGTTAATTCATGCTAAAATGTTTTAGTTAAATTGCTAGCATTTCCACGTTATTTTGAACGAGAGTGCTTTACAGCTCCAGCTCTTCTTCTAAATCGTAATGAGACATAAACTCGTAAAGCTTAAAACCTAAAGTTTCAACAGCAAAAATAAACAGTTTTGTTCCATCCGAAACTATAACCGAAAACAATCAAAATACCCTGCACGTAAACTTTTAGAAATTAGGAAAAACGGCGTGTGTTAAAAGTATTATAAACGCTTTAGTGAATATATTTCCAGTGGCCTACTCGTGTATATGTCTGAGTTTCAGAAAAAGTGAGAATGCTTAATAACCGTAAGTTACCCGTAAAACTTCACGAGAAAAAGGTACGCTAAAGCTTTTTTATACATTATTTTGAACGATTATTTATGTGTTATTGTAATTTTTCAAGTAATCCCGTTTAGTTAATCCTGTGAGCAAAATCCCAAACTCCTTTGATCCCCATACTCAGTATCAAAATTTCGAGAACCTAAACGTAGGTATTTTGTTTGAATAACCCCTTACATATCCATGTCAATTTGCATGTACGTCAGTGGATCTAGTCCAGTGAGCCCCTAAACTCTTTTGACCCATATGTATCTGTATTTAGAACGGTCCCCTAAACATTAATATCAAAGTCTCAAGAACATCGGCTCAGTCAAACATGAGAGCCCCTAAAAAGACCCTTGACCTGCCGTGTCTGAGCCCCCTCTCCACTTATTTCCATGACTCTTTCGAAATTATTGTTCTTCGAGATCCGACAACACCTGCATTTGAAAGTTAGAATAATTTCCTCAAAATAGGCGGGAGAAGTATAAACATTTAGTTACTATAAGATATAGCGTTCCTATAAAGAGGCCCTTTGATAAGATTATATAGTGTTTAAATCAAACTCTTAATTTTTATTCCAGTAAACGCTTCATTGATGGATGATCTGATGTCCCAGTTGTCACAGAACTAGAGTTCGTGCTTCACATCATCCTGATATAGATATGTGTGTGTGTAACGCCAAGTTGTATACACTTAAAATAAGTATTTGACAATAGTAACTGCAATGACTAACTCTCTTTAAATGTTATTTGCGATTCCAGCTGCAGATGTCAAAGTTTTGCGATAACTGAAACTTTAATTCATTTTTTACTACAAGGAGAAGTAAAATTTCTTTAAAAACGATTGACAACTTGGTGAAGGTTTCTATTTTTTAAACTTTTACCACTAATTTTATTGTATAACAAGATGCACTAACGATGGGTTGTATTCTGAGAATCAAAAGCTTAAATGATATAGCAAATAATATTAAACCATCAGCTTTATATAGAAGTTTATAGAATTCACATGAGGGAAAAATCAAAGAACGTGCACAAAGATTGCTTAACTTAGGGTGTTGAAATAAAAATTCTTCCTGTACGAGTATTAAGACGGGTCCTCAAAAACTTTGTAGTCCCACCAACCCTGAAAATGTTTTTAAAATCCATACAATTCTGTGGATGAGCCTCTAAAAAATACATTAAACGCTTAATCCGGCCTGGACGTTGAACGACATGGATACATTGTGTTTCATCAGATTTGATCTCCAATCCATTACTTTCAGGTACCAAATGGTTATATGGGATAACTTCTAAAGCCTGAGATCCGAATATAGGACGGAAGTTTGCTAAATATTCAGATAACTTGTCATTATGCAAGTTAAAGTGTTGAACGTTGCGACAAAAAATACGCTTATCAACTTTATCAGCGCTATATTTTACATTTCACGTTCAGATAATATAAGTAATATACAAATGAATAGAGCGTATTGTTTAATATGAAAATTTTAACTACTTGTGGTATTTAATCATTACTGTTAAGGCTTAGAACTGTTAAAATAAATGATATTCCATTGAGTAAAAGGTGTATAGTTTTATACGTTATGAATATAATTAAACATTCTCCACAAAAATTACTGAGATTCGATAGTATACATCACATGTGTTCGTGTATTGCTTAAAACTGTAGGCCGATTGTTTCTCTGGAGTCTAGATAGTAGAAAGTTGATAAACACACGTAACTGAAATCACTCCGAAGCGAAAGTACTTGAAACGGATATACTTTTATAACAATATTCAAAACCAGGAAGTGAAAATGCTCATATTCAGACTTGAACGTGATTTGTTAGTAAAACATAATATGAAAGTGAAACCCGTCCAGAATCGAACATACTTTAAGACGATTTCCTAGCAAAATGCAATACATAACAAGGAAGTGAAGCGTCCAGAATCAAATATAATTGAGTTTAAGTTAGTAGTAGAATGCACATAGCAACGAAGTGAAACCGTCTCAGATCGAATATATTTTTAAGACGATGTCCTAGAAAAAATGTAGTAAATAAAGAAAAGTGAAGCGAACATACTTGAGCTTAATTTACTTGTAGAATCTACATAGCAACGAAGTGAAACCGTCTCAGATCGAATATATTTTTAAGACGATGTCCTAGAAAAAATGTAGTAAATAAAGAAAAGTGAATCGAACCTACTTCAGCTTAATTTACTTGTAGAATCTACATAACAACGAAGTGAAACTGTTTAGAATCGAAAGTACTTGAACTTGAATTGCTTATAATTTAAAGCTGTAAAATATTACTCATAATAAAAAAGTGAAACCGCTTAGGATCGAACATACTCGAACATCAGGCGCTTGTATTTTAAAGCCATAAAATGAAATTATAGCAGGGGAGCGAAGGTTAAAGAATCGAACATACTTCAAATTCATTTATTGAAGGTGATTTGCTAGTAACATATATTTCATAACAAAGAACTGAAGTTGCTTAGAATTCAAATTATATATCTCGATTTGCTAAAAGAATGTTGTTCACAACAATGCCATCAATCTACTCCTTTCGAATTCACTTAAATTTCATTTACTTATATTTCAAAACCTATAAAATGTTGCTCATAACAAAGAAAATGAAACCGTACAGATTCGAACATATTTGAGCTCGATTTGCTAGTAATATGTTATCTTATTACGATTAACTGAACTCTATCAGAATACCATACATTTGATTTTGATATTCTAGCAAAGCGTTTTTTTTTAAATGCTAAGAAAAATACACTAAGTAATGAATGGGCTTGAATTTGACTTTTAAGCAAAGTGGTGAGTATTTTCGGTCGTGGCCATGAAAATCAAAAATCAACAGACTTACTTGTGAACGGTTTGTTGTTCCTTCCGCTAGAGTGAACAAACTTGTCTGCTCCGGTAAAACAATGTCTCCTTAGTACATGCGCACTGTTAAACGCATCAGTTTTCGTACACTGAATGTAAACTTGACTTTGTAACTCACACGTTTCTCTCACTACATCGATAAGCTTTCTCCTTCCTTTTCCTGGACCAATACATGTCATTTCCTCCAGAACATTTTATACGAAGGGCGGGAAAGAATGATGTCACACTACTTCTCTGTGATTGGACAATAGTTGAGCGAACGCCTTCAGTATTAGTTAAGTGGAGAGATGAAATACACACCACAATGGCAATGGATCAAGGACTTTTCAACCCGAGGACTCTTCCATCAAGTAAAATAACCACGTCCTGAGATAACACTTGACGAAAGCATCTGTTATACTCATAGTCCAACGAAAACATTTTTATTTGTACAATACACAATCTTCGTCTCTAGTCTAAGCTTGATAAATTTTGCCACAAACAATACAATAACATTAAGTTCCTTGTTATTGTTTTTTGTAAGGTGTTCATAGTTGTAAGTGGTCTTTAAATATTTTACAGAAACAGCTGTTGAAGTACATTTTTGTGGAACTTTATATCTGTGTATTTTTGTTTTTTCACTAAAAACATAAGTTACTGTGCAAATTCCTTTCTTCATATAATTTGTTTTATCTTAATTGTAGACCTGTCATCGTGCCATCTGGTGGCTTTTATGCACATTTATTTATTTTTACTTTCTGAACTATATTGTGGAATCTAAACTGCAATATAACTGATGTAATGATAATTTCAATTGGTTCCTTTTTATTTTATAATTACAGTATAATATTTCAGAAGTAATTTGATGATTTGCTGTAGGACTCATTTCTTTCACAAACTAAAACTGAAAAATGTTTTATTATCAGTAAGCTTCCTTTACAATTTTGCTTATTGAAGTTAATGTATTTATTACTTCAGCAAATTGTGTTCATCTTCCAATACCTCTAACTTGGTCATCATTGATAAACAATGTAAAAACGTGTTCAATCTCTGTTCTCTTAATATAATTTCATTTCATGTGTCAAAACATACAGTACTAACTCTATACATCTTGGCTTAACTTGTTGTAAGGATATGTGAATACAGAAATCTCCTACATAAGATACATCTTGGCTTAACTTGTTGTAAGGATATGTGAATACAGAAATCTCCTACATAAGATACATCTTGGCTTAACTTGTTGTAAGGATATGTGAATACAGAAATCTCCTGCATAAGATACATCTTGGCTTAACTTGTTGTAAGGATATGTGAATACAGAAATCTCCTACATAAGATACATCTTGGCTTAACTTGTTGCAAGGATATGTGACTATAGAAATATCCTACATAAGAAATCATTGCATAATCGTTTCTTCTAGCTAAACACTGTTACTCATACGACCAGTATTTTCAATTTAACATGTTTGAGTGTTTCGTATTTTCAAAGATTTGAGTCCTGAAAAATTATTTAAGATTTTGCTTATTCATTTGTTGAATTTCACCCAAAGCTACTGGAGGACTATCTGCGCTAGCCACCCCTAACTTTGAAGTAATATACTTGAGGGAATGCAGCTAGTCAACACCACCCACAACCAACTCTTGGGCTATTCTTTAACAACGAATAATGGGATTGATCGTCACATTATAACACCCCGTGGCTGAAAGACCGAACAAGAATTGGTGATAGGTGGTGTTGACTAACTGCCCTCCCTCTAGTCTATCACTGTTAAATTAGGGACTGCTAGCGCAGATAGCCTTCAAATATCTTTGCGCGAAATTTAAAACAAACAATTTATGCCATATTCTCATTGCTTGTTTTTCAAAATATAAAGAGGTTTAACTAGATTTTGCCTTTATAATAAGGACAAATCAAAGAACAATATGTTATCCTTAAAGCTTTTACGTGCAATTTTAGATTCTATCACTAGAATGCGAGAATTCCATGTGAAAGTTTCATTAACAATAAGTCCTAAAAATGTCCTTCAACCACTCTGTGGCTACTCCTTTGTTATCATCATGTTGTAATTTTTTACAGTATTTCATGATTTACCGTATGAAAAGCTTTTTATAGGAATAAAAATTTAACTATTATAGTTTTTTATCTCTTCAAACGCTTTAGACATCTTATCTTTCAGTATTATTGTGCTAATTCAGTTGACAGCCCTTATGTTAACTCATATTGTGGGTTGTTTAATATATTACTTTTTAACTGACCTAGTTATTAGAACATTTTCATATATCGAAATTGGACTCAATATTTTCTACATCACCATCTACACAAATATTGGTTATTATTTTAGCAACTTTTAAATAATCCGGAACTATCCCTTTCTCCAAGTTATTATAACTAACCCTAAACGCCCTCCGGTGGCGGTGGGTATAAAACAAATATACTATCGTGTAAGGTTGCGCTTAACAACAAACAAAACAAACTAACCAGATACAAAGAAACAGAAATTTCACAAATTGTTTGTATTATTCAGTCAGGAACAACATTATTGTGTTATTAGAAATATATTTAGTATTTTCCCTTCACCTTTATTTAATAATGTGAACATTCCACGCTCACCAAGAATTTTTACACATACACGTGTATGTAGTTTTAACAACTGAACATTGTTAAAAAAAATAGCCTCAGTTCTTTTCGATCTAGGTATCTATTGTTCTAGGTCATTCCCCTATGGTGCTACATGAGCTTTCTCGTGGTCAGACTTATTATAAGGTACGACACACTATTTGAAAGTGAATAGTGATTTTTTACCACTGGCAGGTTAAGTAATACCTTAAGAAATTTGCTAATAACATTAGTGTTATATGATATTATAATATTTAGTATATAATACTATGCTCTCTCAGTGTGGAACAAGTAAAGTTACTATTCAGTCAAGTAATTCTTGATCTCCAGTATAAGTGCTGTCCATTTAGACTGTGCACTCCTCACTTTGGTTGTTTTTGTAATAGAGTCTTGGCTAAAATGTTTGCATACTGTTCTATATTGATGTTATTGTCTACATGCGTGGAGTAGTTGTTGAGTAAATACACGAGTAATAACAGAGAAGGTAGTGTATGATCGGACAAACATGTACGAGCTATTATTCTGGACTGTATGATTGTTTTGACCATTTGTTCGTCAAAATACCCATACACACCTGTTTTGTATAAAAGGTTGTGCTTTTGGTATAACCTTTTTCGAAACAGATTAACGCTTTGTTCAGACAATTTCTTTGTACTCGGTGTACAGTCATGCCTTGTCACGTGTCAGAAGTTATATGGCGTCAAATTGTTCGACTGACCAAAAAACGGTATGAAGCAAACAAACATTGCTAGAACAGTAGGATACCCCCAGTTTACTGTGTCTAGAATCCTGAAACTTCATCGGACTACAGGAAACGTTGTTCCAGGAAAGTCTACTGGTAGACGCCGAAAATTACTGTCTGAGATGATCGTGTTTTCATCAGGTTAACATATCAAGGTCGAAAGAAGTCTTGCAACACCATATGACAGGAATGGCATGAACACATTCTTTCCAGGGTATACAGAAGAACATTAAATAGGAAACTGACAAAACAATGTTATTTTGCAAGAAAGGCTATCTGCAAACCGATATTAACCACAATTCACTGCCGGCAACGTGTTAATTTAGCAAGACAGCATGCCAACTTACAATTAGGACACTGGAGACTTGTCATCTTTTCAGATGAGTCCTGTTTCCGGCTAGTTAAAGCTGATAGTATTATTCGTATTTATCGTTTGCCTGGAGAACAGATGAGGAAAGTCTGTCTTTCACATAGGGAACGCACAGGAGATGGTGCAGTACATACTTGAGCAGCTTTTTATCATGGTGGAAAAACTGTTCTTCATATCCTCCAGGCAAAAGTCAATGGCGCCTCCTACAGGCACACCATAGAGACGATATTTCTGCCATAGGCTAGGGCAAGATTTGACAATAACTTTATGTTCCAGGATGACAATGTCACTGCCCACAGTGTGCATATTGTACAGGATTATCTCTACCAGGAAGACGTTACAAGATTATCATGGCTAGCAAAGTATCCAGATTGTAATCCCATTGAGAACTATTGGGCAGAACTGAGCTGGGAAGTTGATAACCACAACCCTAAACCAGGTGCTGTAGCTGAGTTACCGCGCTTTCTAGTGACAAGGTGGGATGAAATTACGGTGGATCACATCAATAACCTCATCGACAGCATGCCATGTTGCATTGTGGAGGTTATTAGAGTACAAAGAGGTCCAACCACCTATTGAATGTTTGATATGAACTGATATAAGGCTGCAGATGCTATTTATAATAATTTGATGTTATATTTTGTTATTATATATGTTTGGGTAAGGTTTTGCTGTGATAGGTGAAATGCTGAATTATACATCTCTCTACAGATGTCTGATAAAATTGTTTGCTGTTCTAATAAATCGTTTATGTCCATAGTACCTGTCTCATTATACAAATGACATATCTAGATATTTAATATAACATGCATTTCTCAGTTTGACAGCACTAAGTGTATTTGTATTCCATCTTACTAATAATGATCTCATTTGTTACAAAATATGCAAGACTGTGGATAAAAAATATTTTACACTTTGTAACACACACACACCGTACTGCAGTTCTGTTAAATATCAGTCACTATTCACTTAATCTTAGTGATTTCAGTTTTCTTATTGTTGGTAGAATTTGATGGTATTTTAATCAAACTTTAAGAATTGCTTTTATTTGTAAATAATGTTTATTTCATGAGATTACAGTTACATGTATGTGCATTTTATTACATAGTGGAATAATAAAAATTGTAAATGTCATTAACTGCAAAATTTTAAGATATACAGATATTGTGAAAACGTATCTGATAATGAAATTGGTTGATTAGCCTTTACAATTGTTTTATTGTGGACTTGGATTGCTTTGTTTGTACTGATAACTTTAAATACATTTCGTCTATTTGTGGGTGCTCACACTGCGTTTTCCAACTCACATGTTACTTATTGATTAATTTTATTCTTATGTGCTTTCAACCTTTATATTGTCACTGACATTTTTAAAAAACACCTTTGATAAAACTCTGTGCATCGCACGGTACACCTGTCAGTATATTTCAAAATG